ATGGCAGCAAAAGGAGTTGAGATGTGAGAGGGAGACCTGACATGCGACTTGAGAGCAACATCTGGTTCTAGACAGCACGGAGAGAGAGAGAGAGAAAGAGAGAGAGAGAGAGAGAGAGAGAGAGAGAGAGAGAGAGAGAGAGAGAGAGCTGAAAGCTCACTGACTCCCCGCTTTGCGACACACGAGCTGAAGGCTGGCTCCCTGATGGCAGAAGACGAGAGCGACCTGGTCTGCAGGAGGAAGGCGGCCATGGCAGCAGCTGCTCCAACGTTGGCAACGGCGGCGGCAGCTCCAAGAACGCGCGTGGAAGCAGCTTCGACGGGCGGCAGCTTGGCGAAGGCAGCGGCTTCGAGCAGGCGGGCGGCGGGGGCAAGTTGAAGCCCTCGTTTGAAATTGTGCCGCTTGTGCCGGCACGAGGGAAAATTTTCCCTCTCGTGTCTGGCAGTGACCGGGAGTCTGAAACTCGCCTAAAAAAAACGTGCCATATTTTTAACGGCCGCCTAGGGCCTCAACCTACACCTAGGCCCCGCCAACAATTTTTTTAAAATCCTTCGTAGGGGGGCCAAACCGGACACCCAGCACAGACTACCAGGTCCTGACCGTTTGGATGGGGCTCCGGACGTCCGGTCGGTAGCCATGGTAAATACTGAACTTGTTGCATATTCATGTTTCCTTTTCTTCATGGCTACGCCGAACCCGGACCGGGCAGCTCATGTCCGGTCAGGTCCGGACGTCCGGATTTCCTGACATATCCGGACCTCTGGACATGCATTGTTCCGGACAGTCCGGACCGGTAAGCAGGTCCGGAAATGTCCGGAACAACAACAAAAAAAAAAAATATCTGAAAAACAATTATGTTATGCAGAATAACAATGCAAACCACTTTTGCCTCAGACTGATGTCAGAATTCCTAACCAGACTCGAGTTAAAAGTCAAGAACTATTAAAACTTAGAAAAAGACTTCAAAGTTCAAAAAGTGACGAATTATTAATAATTCATTACTTGGGTACTAGTAATAAATTATTATATAGAGAGACCATGTCAGGAGCCCCCAGAAAAACAAAAACGGGCCTGAAAACCCCCTAAAACAATGTTGGGGTTTGGCTCCTCAGTGGAGAAGGGTCCTGGACCCTTTTTTTTTTTTTTTTGGCAAATCCGGACCTTCCGGACTGGACGTCTTTTTTTTCTTGGCCATGCTTTTTTTGAAAGTTTTTACTATGTGATGGATGAATCTATTAACTTAGCTACTCAAATTGATTTGATAATTTAATCTCATTTAATATCCCACTTTATTAGTTTTATTTGAAGAATGGGCACAGCACAAAGTTTTCTGTGCTTCATTCTTTCCTCGGTTGCTCATTGAGTTTCTTTTTTTTAATTTAAAAATGCCTTTCTTTGCTGGGAATGGACCTAATGTCCATTGCTAATTGAGTTTCAAATTGGCCTGTGTGGATTACCCCACCCCTGTTGTGTACAGCCCTTCCTCATCCTCCTCCTCAGAAACGAAGCAAGGGTGAGTACCCTTTCAGAATCATTCCGAGGGCACTTGTTCAAAAATCAGGGATTGAGGCTGCGCGACAGCAGTTGATGATTGGATTCGATCCAACGGCCATTCTGATGCGAGAGCTCCAGGTAAAACATCTGCTCCCCCCGTCGTCGTCCTATCTATCCCGCTCCCATCAACCTCCCGCCTCTCTCTCTCTCTCTCTCTCTCTCTCTCTCTCTCTCTCTCTCTCTCTCTCTCTCTCTCTCTCTCTCTCTCTCTCTCTCTCCCGTTCGCACTCCTTCCCACACCTCCTCTCCTTCGTGCGACCTTGCGACCTCCTCGTCCTCCCTCGCGGCCCCCTCTTCCCCTCCCCATCCCGCACGACCTCCTGCAACCTCTCCTCCCCATCGTGCAACTTGCTCCTGCCCCTTCCACGACCTCCTCCTCCCCCTCGTGCGATCTCCCCCTCGCACAACCTCCTCCCTGTCCTTGCGCGAACTGCACTTCCCCCTCGCACATCGTCTTCAGACCTCCTCTTCCCCCTTGTGCGACCTTCTCCCACCTCTCTTCCGGCCTCCGCCAGATCCTCCTCCTCCTTGCGGGACCTCCTCCCCCTCACGCCTCCTCTTCTGACCTCCCACCTCCACACGACCTCTGTGCGACCTCCTGCTTGTCCTTGCATGATCTGCAGTTCCCCCTCGCACATCGTCTTCCGACCTCCTCCTCCCCCTTGCGCAACCTCCGTGCTACCTCCCCCTCCCCCTCTTCCCAGCTCCTCCTACCCCTCGTGCGACCCCTCCTCCCCCTCATGCGATCTCCTCCTCCTCCTTGTGCGACAGCCTCCTCCCCCTCACACGTCCTCTTCGCGCCAGGCGCACCCCAGACACGGCCATTATCTGGCCCGGGTGACACTGAGGGTGTTTGTTTAGAACATGAGGGACACACAGCATTCGGGGTTGGGGGGGGCATCGGCCAAGGCATCAGCACACCGTCGGATCCTTTGTAAATCAGACTATTTTATTGTGGTCGTCGCTGGATTCGAACTCGTGTCTGCAATTCAACAGTTTCATGTGTGCATCAACTGAGCAACCTGCCAATGTGCAAAATGAGAAGGAATCTTCCGCAAGAACATAGGAAGATAAACCGCGACGGCCATACATTGAAAAGAAATCCCGGTGCGAGTATAGACTGAGGAGCTGTCAGATCCAAATGTCGCCACAAGCGCTAAGCGTCATTTAGGTAAATACATATTAGAATAGCAAAAACATAAGCTTGTAATACAGCAACACCAGAGAGAGAGAGAGAGAGAGAGAGAGAGAGAGAGAGAGAGAGAGAGAGAGTTTTCCCTCCGTAGGATGAGCAAATTGGGAATGAATCTGTCGCTCGAACATGGATATATACAATGCCACATTTTCGGTCTTTGGCAGTGTATATTTCCATGTTGTGGCAGTGGATACGTCCATGTTCTAGGGGAAGATTCGATACCATTTTGCTCATTTGGTGAAGCGTGGCAATGTCCATCTGTGTGTGTGTGTGTGTGTGTGTAGGATGAGCAAAATCAGAATGAATCTTCAGCCAGAGATATATACACTGCCACACCATTTTTTATTTTATTTTCATGTGTGTGTGTGTGTGTGTGTGTGTGTGTGTCGTTCAAATTTTTACGGATGTCCCGAAGGACAGGAAGGAGGTCTGTTGGTACTCTCAGTCAAGATGTGTCTGTACCGTGATGCCACCCAACATTTTCTTTCCCGGACTTGTTGTGTGTTTGTGTGTGTGTGTTAGTCAACACCTTGTCAAAGACATGGTTCGTCAACACAGGGCACAGGAAGAGAGAGAGAGAGAGAGAGAGAGAGAGAGAGAGAGAGAGAGAGGAAAACAAAAAAACAAATAAAAAACAGAGCACAGCGCGCAATAGGAATGGCATCCCAGAAAGGGAAGTTTCTGATGAATATTATCGAGTATAACTATGAAATAAGAGGACAGTTGTATCTTAAAAAAAAAAAAAAAAGTCCTTGGAGACGTCTGTTAAAATTGGGAATGATACAGAGAAGATTAGCATGTCCCCTGCACAAGGATGACATGCATAAACTGAGAAATGGTCCAAAAAATAAGGAATAAACAATAGGTAGAGAATTTGTGCTTCATTTAATTTTTGCGACATTTATCTAAGTTTCTGATAAGCGCAGGCTATGCGTAAGATATTCACATCACCCACTTTTTGGCCTTGGTTACGTACATTGTATGTATGTGTCTGGTAATATGACTGGCGGACCGTTGGCCTTGTCCTTTGGTGGATTGAGAGCGAGAGCAGAATGCAAGGAAAATGAGCAGAGCGAATGACAGAAACCAGATTGCGAAAGCCAGATAGTTGTGTGCCGAACAGAAAAAGCAGAATGCACCAAGAGACACACCAAAGAAGAGAAAGGCAGTGTACTGAATTTCATAACGTAAGCCCTCCCCCATCACCCCTCCACCATCAATGAATCGGATGACGCTCTTCTATTTGGCGTCCAGTGCCCAGACTACAACTAGCCTATCGATTACGAGCCTCTCCTATGGTACTAGTGGTGTCTGCTGCTCATATCAGCACCGCTAGCATCCAGAAGGGAGTTTTTGTTTTAAAAAAAATAAAAAATAAAAAAAATCATAGCAACTACGACGCAAACCAGGTACTCTTAAGCACCAGCCCGATGTTTACGTGAAAAGACACCGCCCATGCAGCTCTCCTCCGGCACCAGGCAGTACTTCCCTCGCACACTGATGCCCTGACTTCTTTCTCCACAGGCACTTCACCTCCACCCAGGACCACCACCGTCCCTGCCGGCTTCCCGTGCCCGGCTATGGCCGCCACACTCAGGCTGCGCCCAACGCCCGTGGGCGCTCTCGCACACTCCAGCCTGGTTCTGTGTCACCGGCGTGCGTTGAAGCAGGGCTGACACACATGCGCCAGCCAGAATGTGTCTGGCTGAGGCTGGGCACTTTCCTTTTCCGGAAAGTGCAGGCTGGCGAGGCTCTGGTCTGGCCTGGCTGCACGCCCACTACTCTCCCACCAGCTGCATCCCTGGGCCCTTCCCAAATGTGCGCGGGGCTCAACTGTAAGGGTCCTGGGCCTAAGTATACCAGGTGGTTGAAGATCCGGCACCCGTGAGGCCCTTCTTGAGCTTTCCCGTGCTGTAACCACCTCGGGGGCCTCCCCAGCGGCCTCAAAACTTGGCCGAAAATAGGCCGACACACAAAAATGCAGGCCCGCCTTCACTTAGGGCGGGCAGGCGCAAATGGGCCTTCGCTGCTTTGCGGAGGGGCTCAGATCCTCGCATGAATACCACGAAGGACACAAATAAAGTTATCTAAAAGTGAAAATAGAAAATTTTGGGGAAAAAAAAAAAAAAACTTAAGAGAAAGGTCAGGCTAATTGCCATGAAAAAGGGATGAGCCTGGAGAAAGTGGGGAAGGAAAGTTTTTAAAAGAATATTATTGCAGATAAATATGAAAATATTAAAAATAATAAAATATTAAATAATTAGATCAGTAAATACCATGGCTACCCCGGACCTGGACACCAAGCACGTCCAGACACAAAACCGGACCTGTGTCTGGTCCAATCCGGACGTCCGGTAATCCGGACATCTTCCGGACACCGGACAAAACCGGACCCGGACGGTCCGGATTAAAATTCCAAAAAAAAAAAAAAAAAAAAAAAAAACACAAACAAACAAAACAAAACCAAACCAAACAAAACAAAACAAACAAACAAAACAAACAAGCAAACGAACAAACAACAACAACAACGTAGTGTGAGTCGATGGTTCTTCGTACCAACAGCTGATTGCAGAACTGGACAGCAAGTGCCAGCAACCCCCGAGAGTTTGAGATGCTTAAACTTAATCATACTGACCTCTTCTGAATTTCAAGCCTGAAAAAGGCCACGTCAACCCCCTCCATGCATCCATCCCTCTTCCTCCTCGTCTCAACCCTTATTACGGACCCAACAAGCTGCATCGTTCAAAGATGACCAAAAAAAAAAAAAAAACCGAAAGGGCATCCATCCATCCCTCCCCCTACTCATGAAAGGATCATCATCATCAGAAAGTCATAGAAATAAAGGTGCCAATTGGAGGGATGGAGGTGGATGATTGCTGTCACATGGCTGGCAGACACATTCGAGGAGATTGCATGGAGGGAGGGAGTGCGTGCGCGAGAGAGAGAGAGAGAGAGACAGAGAGAGAGAGGGAGAGAGCGAGACGTACATGGCAGCAAAAGGAGTTGAGATGTGAGAGGGAGACCTGACATGCGACTTGAGAGCAACATCTGGTTCTAGACAGCACGGAGAGAGAGAGAGAGAAAGAGAGAGAGAGAGAGAGAGAGAGAGAGAGAGAGAGAGAGAGAGAGAGAGAGCTGAAAGCTCACTGACTCCCCGCTTTGCGACACACGAGCTGAAGGCTGGCTCCCTGATGGCAGAAGACGAGAGCGACCTGGTCTGCAGGAGGAAGGCGGCCATGGCAGCAGCTGCTCCAACGTTGGCAACGGCGGCGGCAGCTCCAAGAACGCGCGTGGAAGCAGCTTCGACGGGCGGCAGCTTGGCGAAGGCAGCGGCTTCGAGCAGGCGGGCGGCGGGGGCAAGTTGAAGCCCTCGTTTGAAATTGTGCCGCTTGTGCCGGCACGAGGGAAAATTTTCCCTCTCGTGTCTGGCAGTGACCGGGAGTCTGAAACTCGCCTAAAAAAAACGTGCCATATTTTTAACGGCCGCCTAGGGCCTCAACCTACACCTAGGCCCCGCCAACAATTTTTTTAAAATCCTTCGTAGGGGGGCCAAACCGGACACCCAGCACAGACTACCAGGTCCTGACCGTTTGGATGGGGCTCCGGACGTCCGGTCGGTAGCCATGGTAAATACTGAACTTGTTGCATATTCATGTTTCCTTTTCTTCATGGCTACGCCGAACCCGGACCGGGCAGCTCATGTCCGGTCAGGTCCGGACGTCCGGATTTCCTGACATATCCGGACCTCTGGACATGCATTGTTCCGGACAGTCCGGACCGGTAAGCAGGTCCGGAAATGTCCGGAACAACAACAAAAAAAAAAAATATCTGAAAAACAATTATGTTATGCAGAATAACAATGCAAACCACTTTTGCCTCAGACTGATGTCAGAATTCCTAACCAGACTCGAGTTAAAAGTCAAGAACTATTAAAACTTAGAAAAAGACTTCAAAGTTCAAAAAGTGACGAATTATTAATAATTCATTACTTGGGTACTAGTAATAAATTATTATATAGAGAGACCATGTCAGGAGCCCCCAGAAAAACAAAAACGGGCCTGAAAACCCCCTAAAACAATGTTGGGGTTTGGCTCCTCAGTGGAGAAGGGTCCTGGACCCTTTTTTTTTTTTTTTTGGCAAATCCGGACCTTCCGGACTGGACGTCTTTTTTTTCTTGGCCATGCTTTTTTTGAAAGTTTTTACTATGTGATGGATGAATCTATTAACTTAGCTACTCAAATTGATTTGATAATTTAATCTCATTTAATATCCCACTTTATTAGTTTTATTTGAAGAATGGGCACAGCACAAAGTTTTCTGTGCTTCATTCTTTCCTCGGTTGCTCATTGAGTTTCTTTTTTTTAATTTAAAAATGCCTTTCTTTGCTGGGAATGGACCTAATGTCCATTGCTAATTGAGTTTCAAATTGGCCTGTGTGGATTACCCCACCCCTGTTGTGTACAGCCCTTCCTCATCCTCCTCCTCAGAAACGAAGCAAGGGTGAGTACCCTTTCAGAATCATTCCGAGGGCACTTGTTCAAAAATCAGGGATTGAGGCTGCGCGACAGCAGTTGATGATTGGATTCGATCCAACGGCCATTCTGATGCGAGAGCTCCAGGTAAAACATCTGCTCCCCCCGTCGTCGTCCTATCTATCCCGCTCCCATCAACCTCCCGCCTCTCTCTCTCTCTCTCTCTCTCTCTCTCTCTCTCTCTCTCTCTCTCTCTCTCTCTCTCTCTCTCTCTCTCTCTCTCTCTCCCGTTCGCACTCCTTCCCACACCTCCTCTCCTTCGTGCGACCTTGCGACCTCCTCGTCCTCCCTCGCGGCCCCCTCTTCCCCTCCCCATCCCGCACGACCTCCTGCAACCTCTCCTCCCCATCGTGCAACTTGCTCCTGCCCCTTCCACGACCTCCTCCTCCCCCTCGTGCGATCTCCCCCTCGCACAACCTCCTCCCTGTCCTTGCGCGAACTGCACTTCCCCCTCGCACATCGTCTTCAGACCTCCTCTTCCCCCTTGTGCGACCTTCTCCCACCTCTCTTCCGGCCTCCGCCAGATCCTCCTCCTCCTTGCGGGACCTCCTCCCCCTCACGCCTCCTCTTCTGACCTCCCACCTCCACACGACCTCTGTGCGACCTCCTGCTTGTCCTTGCATGATCTGCAGTTCCCCCTCGCACATCGTCTTCCGACCTCCTCCTCCCCCTTGCGCAACCTCCGTGCTACCTCCCCCTCCCCCTCTTCCCAGCTCCTCCTACCCCTCGTGCGACCCCTCCTCCCCCTCATGCGATCTCCTCCTCCTCCTTGTGCGACAGCCTCCTCCCCCTCACACGTCCTCTTCGCGCCAGGCGCACCCCAGACACGGCCATTATCTGGCCCGGGTGACACTGAGGGTGTTTGTTTAGAACATGAGGGACACACAGCATTCGGGGTTGGGGGGGGCATCGGCCAAGGCATCAGCACACCGTCGGATCCTTTGTAAATCAGACTATTTTATTGTGGTCGTCGCTGGATTCGAACTCGTGTCTGCAATTCAACAGTTTCATGTGTGCATCAACTGAGCAACCTGCCAATGTGCAAAATGAGAAGGAATCTTCCGCAAGAACATAGGAAGATAAACCGCGACGGCCATACATTGAAAAGAAATCCCGGTGCGAGTATAGACTGAGGAGCTGTCAGATCCAAATGTCGCCACAAGCGCTAAGCGTCATTTAGGTAAATACATATTAGAATAGCAAAAACATAAGCTTGTAATACAGCAACACCAGAGAGAGAGAGAGAGAGAGAGAGAGAGAGAGAGAGAGAGAGAGAGAGAGTTTTCCCTCCGTAGGATGAGCAAATTGGGAATGAATCTGTCGCTCGAACATGGATATATACAATGCCACATTTTCGGTCTTTGGCAGTGTATATTTCCATGTTGTGGCAGTGGATACGTCCATGTTCTAGGGGAAGATTCGATACCATTTTGCTCATTTGGTGAAGCGTGGCAATGTCCATCTGTGTGTGTGTGTGTGTGTGTGTAGGATGAGCAAAATCAGAATGAATCTTCAGCCAGAGATATATACACTGCCACACCATTTTTTATTTTATTTTCATGTGTGTGTGTGTGTGTGTGTGTGTGTGTGTGTGTGTGTG